ATTGGTAGGAGCTAAGGGGCAGCGAGATATGACAGCTGACGGTCGAGATGCCTTCCTCTGTCTGTCATATATAGGCAGATAGCTGCTGTTGAGTCGACTCTGATTCATGGAGAACTTACATACAACAGAATGAAACTTTGCCTGGTCCTGCGTCATCTTCGTGATCAAGTCCATCATTGCGGCTGTTGTGCCAAACCGTCTCACCTAGGGTCTCCCTCGCCCTTGCTGGCTCTCCACTTCAACAAACACGATGTCCTTCTCCAGTGATTGATCCCTCCTGATGATGTGTCCGTAAGGTTTCCACTGGCTGATTTTTGGAAGCAGCTCGCCAGGTCCTTCTTGCTAGTCTATCTTAGTCTGGAAGCTCTGCTAAAACCTGGCCACCACGGGTGACCCTGCTAGTATTTGAAATACTGGTGGCATAGCTTCCAAGGTGATCGCAACATGCAAACTACCACAGTACAACAAACTGACAGATGGGTGGTGGGTCTGTCATATAATAGGCACTCAACAGATAAGTGCTGAATGGCTGATGGATGAATGAGTGAATGAATTCATTTATTCAACCTGTTTTCAACAAGCATTTACTAAGTGTAGGTTACTACACAGACTTAAAGCTAGACCCTGAGTATGACGATGAGCAAAAAGAGAAGCGACTACTTCCCTCAGGGGGTTTATAGCCTGGTGGGAAAGAGCATTAATCACATAATCTCTACACCCAAACGTCACTGTGACATGGGCTCCATAGCCTTAAGAAACTCTTGGGTGTTTTAATAGAATGAGGAGGGTAAGACAATAACCCTTTAGCTGAGGTCTGAAGGATGCATAGGAATACACTGAACATTTTTAAATGAAAAACTTGCCTGAGCGAAGACACAGAAAACGTGAAGAGCTAGGTTCTAACGAGAAAAACCACGTCGGTGCACTCAGTTGTGGGGCGTTTTAGCTTCACCTCCCTTACCGTCCTCTTTATATTCCTGAACTTGAGAATGTATATAACAGGGAACAAAAAAACGTGAGAACAGCTATTTAAAAGGATGACAAAGCACTTAGAAGAACAACGTGTCTAATAAACGGAAGTAGTCAAGAAGTGCCACTTCTCATGTTGTGCTTCCATTTGTTCTTCAAATCACAGATTCAGACCGTAACTACCTGGCATATGGCAGTGTCTCAGTGCATTTATTCTTTCCAAAGAAAGGTAGGGAAGAAAGGCAGTTCGCATTTATGGAGAGCCAATCTTGTGCCAGGTGCTATTAGGTGTTTGTGTAAATGGTACCTAAGGTTAGAAACTGTTCAGGTGTGAATCTTGTCAAGATTTACAGAGAAAATCCATAGAGCACCAAGTTTGGCTATTAGGACTTGAATATATTTCCTGCACTTTTTTTGTATCTTTCTTTGCATATTTGACTACATTCAGGGATCAATAAGAAACTCCTCTTGCAGCTAATTTCTTGCATATAAACCTACCTCCACCCCAGGAGTAAGCAAGATGGTAAGGTAGCAGTCAGCTTCTCATTGCATAAGATATGCTGAGGCTGAATTTTAATATCTATCAGTATTTTATGCTATTAATACCCTTCAAGAGTATAACTTACCTTAAGGCTTTATCTACTAAATAGTTACATTATTACAAAGAGATCATCTGAAACTCAGAAGGTGAACATTCTTAGCAAAAGGTTTAACATATGAAGTAGAAAAGGCAAATTTAAATTTAAATTGGTTCCCTTCCCTAGTTCCTTTTCACCACCAAGATAAAGGGGACATCTGTAATTCAAGGGTGGGTTTGTGCCAGGGGACCAAAATGATTTGATTATATCTAATTCAAGTCTTTAGACAATTCTGCCAGAAACTTTATGTAAGATGGTGCAAAGGTTAAGCGTTTGGCCGCTAATTGAAAGGCTGGCAGTTTGAACCCACCAGTCGCTCCACAGGAGAAAAATGTGGCAGTCTGCTTCTGTAAAGATTACAGCTCTGGAAACCCTACGGGTCAGTTCAGCTCTGCCTATAGGGTCACTATGAGTTGGAACTGACTTTTGGGCAGTGAGTTTGGGTAACGGGTAAGTAAACAAAATGCCCTTGTCTCAATCCTCAGCTCATGTCTACTCAGCCTTGTTATTCAATTGGAAAGAAGTGAAAGATGAAAATTTTTGTGAATGACATACTTCACTTTTAATGAAATGTTATAATTCAATTACTTCCTCACACACCAGAAAAATTCCAGGAAACCTTCCACCTAAATCTTATTCTAAAACATGGATTGAGACTAGTTCACAATCGGCGTTACTGTTACCCATAAAAACCAAACCTGTTGCTGAGTTGTTTCCGACTCAAGGCGACCGCATGTGTTACAGAGGAGAACTGCTCCATAGGGTTTTCTTGGCTGCAATGTTTATGGAAGCAGATTGCCAGGTCTTTCTTCTGTGGCGCCGCTGGGTGGGTTCAAACTGTCAACTTTTAGATTAATAGTCAACTGCAAATTGTTTGTGCCACCCAGGGACCTTATTACTATTTCAGAGCCATATAAATTGGGTTAACCTCAGGCCAGTCTTAGAGCTGCTGTGATAAAGGAACGTTTGCATCATTAGCTCTACCAATTTTTCCATTCATGGACGAGCAGTTTCATTGTCAGACCTGTATCAATAAATGTAATGGCTGAGAAAAAGGCAAGGCCTTTCTCTACTAGCACGGAAATGCTATTTCACAAGTAAAATATAAAAAAAAAGTTGCGTTAAACATGGCGTACAAGTTTTGGAAGCTCAGGTGTCTTTTTCTGTTCTATGTACTTGAAAGGCTACGTGCTGTTCCCGTGGTGATGTTCACGGCAGGAGCTACCACCCATCCGTGCTGATTAGTGCGCCTGAGAGCAAATCGACTAAACAAGCTACCCAACGCCAGCTGGCTGGAAGCGAGGCCCTCTTGCTATTGGTCAGGCTCAGCTGCTCATCCTGCAGAAACACTGAGGCTCTGGGTTAACGGCCTCACAGTATACTGCCTGTTATGGGTTGAATTGTGGTCCTCAAAAAGATCTTTTGAAGTCCTAATCCCAACACCAGTGAATATGACCTTTGCTGTCATACCGAAGTGAGGATACCCTTCTGAATAGTGTCTGTTGAGGACTGAATTGCGTCCCCTGCAAAATGCGTCATAAATCCTAACCCATATACCTGTGGTTATAATCCTGTTTGGGAATGGGGTTTCTTTTTATGTTAATGAGGCAGTATTAGTGTAGGCTGTGTCTTAAGTCAATGTCTTTTGAGATATAAAAGAGCAAGGAAGCAAGCAAGCAGAGATGGGGGAAGACAGATGCCATGCCACATGAAGATAACCAAGGAGCCAAACAATAGAAGCGGAAGAGACAAGGACCCTCCCCCAGAGCCAGCAGAGAGAAAGCCTTCTCCTAAAGCTGGTGCGTTGAATTCAGACTTCTAGCCTCCTGTGAGAAAATAAATTTGTTTGTTAAAGCCACCCACTTGTGGATAACTGGATAACTAAGACAGTATCTTCTGAAAGGACAGACATGGAAACAGTCACATAAAGGGCAAAGACAGCAGGCGAGACTACGCGCCAAAGAACCCCAAGAAACGCTGGGGGCTACCAGAACCTGAAGGAGATAAGGATTGTCCCCTAGAACCAGCTGAGAGCATGGCCCAGCCAATGCCCTGAATTCAGACTCCAGAGATGTGAGAAAATACATTTCCATTCTTTGTTAGTATTTTGTTATGGCAGCCCTAGGAAACAAAGACACTGGTCCAAATGCATCCAAAAACCAAAAAAAAAAAACCCCAACTGATAGCAAGTGACCTTGTAGAACAGGGTAGAACTGCCCCATATGGTTTCCAAGGAGCAGTTGGTGGATACGAACTGCCGACCTTTCTGTTAGCAGCTGAGTTCTTAACCACTATACTATCAGGGCTCCTGAAATGTATCAGCCACTATTAAAAGCCCACCACTGCCCCTCTAGATGGGATTATACACTTGTCTTCCCTCCCCAGTATCTCTTTTTTCTTAAGCTTCCCTGTCAATACCACGCCAGGGGCAAATTTCAGACTGCTTCCTGAAGCTCTCATTTGGCAGCAGAGGCAAGCCTTGCAAGATGCGCAGACTTTTCGCTACCGGGGGTCAAGTCACACTAGGAAACTACCCCTCCTAAGAGCTTGTGTGACCAGTATTCCAACTCAAACGGCAACTGCTTCTTGGCCGCTAATGTGCCAAAATTATACATATCGGTTATTTCTTTTTCATGAATTATCTTAAATATATCCCCCCCGCCCCATCCTTTTCTTGGTTCTTTGTTTCCTTCATGTACCCCTCCAAGCTTCACATTTTTCTCCCTGGTTCTTTTTTTGTTGTTTTTTCTCTGACTCCCCTGGCCGAATGAAAGCACCTTGAAGGCAAGAGGTTATACTGTCTTGTGAATGTCTTTTCACCTCAGACCCAGCACAGCACACAACACTAAGCAGGCAGTCAACAAATACTTGTGGAATGGTCACATAAAAAGGGTGAAACATACTGAATGCTACAAATTATAGGCTACTTTCAGTCCAGGAAGAACTGAGAAAAATGCAGTTTCTGTCATCCACGCTGTGCATCTACTTTCTTGGCTGTTACACACGATGCTCCTCACCTTTTCTTGGGCTCTGTTTGCTCTGAGCCCAGATGCTCCCGGGTACAAATCGCAGACTGGAGAGGCAAAGACCCTCTCACTCAAAGACAGACACCAGCACTCCTGGGAGAGGACAGAATGTCCTAAGCAGACACCTCGCCTCAATCTATCAGTGGGAAGGTGGTGGACAAGTGGGAGGTTAAAGTTAGCTTTTTACAGCACTTAACTTTCACTACAAGGAGAAAATGTACTCAAGTTATATTATCTTTTTCCAAGAAGCTGTGTTGAAATTCGGTAAAATTTTCAGTAAAATTTGAAGAGCTATAAAATATTCTTCCATTCCAAATGCTAACATAATACACAGAAAATACCCTTTAAAGAAAAATCCAACAAGTACTACTGTTGGTTTTGAATCTTTAATAAAAGTAAAAAATGAATGCAAAAAAACACAATGTTGAAAACTTAGGATGTATGTGAATCTCACTAGATGTTCAAATCTGGTATAGTGCAAAGTTTGTTCATACTATTTTACAAACTCAAATCACTTTGGTTCATGGACTTCCTATAAATTATTGGCAAAGAAATTCTTCAGATTCACATTTTCTTGGGCTACATTATTTCTAACATAGATTTCCAGCTGAAGAGAAAAAAATACTTACTGTTTGTGCGTGATCAAGCATATTTTAAAGATTCATCCACTGCTTTCACTTAATAACTTCTGGTTTTTCATAAAATGCCGACATGTTCATTGAAAACTTTTTTTACATAACTATTTTCAATTTCAGAAAATTTATAAGGGATCATTCCAAAGTTCAGAATGATGCCACTTTCTTTTAAACAAATTTCCTCTAAAACAAATTAGCTATAGTAACCTAAAATTTACTCCCAAGGTATCTTTCTCAAAACAACCCAACCAGGGTCAACACATAAACAAAATCAAATACATACATCAACACTCACAGGCAAGATAGTCTAAACTTCCATTCTGCTGACTGGTGACTTCTATTTAAAAGGAAAGTCTTTTAATCAAGCCACTTTAACAGAATTTAAAACAAACCAAAAACATTTAAATTGCATAATACAAAAGGTAAATTTGTAAGTAAAAATTAAAAGTATACTCAAAGCACAAAACTGGAGTATTTCAAAGGATAGGGTTCAGTGGAAGGTACAACAATAAAGTAACTTTGCAGCTGAAAGAAATTATTGCTGAATTTTGCCTTCATGCAGCACTGAAATGAATGCAGAACCCCTCTCTTTAACATCTCATACATTACAAACAAAATAAATATTTTAAGAGAATAGAAGGCTCAGATTGGTTTTATACATTGCACTTGAAGTTTAAGACCCAATGCTTGCAAATTAGGTCTGAATGGTCTACGTCAGTAAATGAATACATTGTGCTCACCAATATGACTATTTAGAAACACCAAATGTTTTTAACGTAGTGACATACGCACTCGTCTTTTTACAAGGCAATCACAGATTGCAAATTCTATAGGGCTGTGAAAAAAATAGTAATCTCTCTTCTGGAGTATCAAAGAAACTAATCATTTTGGCTCACTAAGACTGCAATACATAGCAGAGATATATTCACTTTTAGGTGATTATGGATTTTGAATACAATTTCATAAACTGAGGTGAAAATTTCTACAGACTAGTGTAGAATTATGACTTTTCATTGCCTTTTGCTTTCAGTAAGATTGTCTACACAAAACTCCACGGGTATAAGGAGAAACCTAGTTCCCATCCTGATGCTGTGCACCTCAGTGTGCGTGAGTGTGAGTGTGCATGCTCCCGCGCTGAGGGGGCGGGGCCCCAGATACCCCGCAACGCCATGACCCCACTCAGAGCACAGTCCCCCACACAGGCATTTTTTTTTTTTTAAAACACAACCCTATTTTAAAAAACTTTTGGATAAATATTATTCTTATTATACCATACTTGTCTTTGTTAAGCACCATCAACCTGTCTCCTTTGGGCACTGATACAAAATCAATAGCTGGTCATTAAGTTTTAGTTCAAGGCTTTGAAATATGGCAACTTGTTTTAATGACATAAATGAAATCTAATACTTGGGGAACTGCCCCTGGCCTCAACTCCCACCCACAGCCTGGATCACATTTCCCAGAGCACAGACAGGTACAAGTGCCATGAATCCAGGTCAGATTTCAAGATACGCAGTTACTGTTTCCACTTGCCATTCTAAAATAGTGAATACTTTTCCAGGAGTCATCTGTACTGGCAGCCCAATCTAAACAGATTATTTAGGAAAAAGATCATCTTTGCCACAATCCAGTATCACAGAGTTTCTTCCCAAATCATGTTTATTCTTCAGAAATCAGTGGGTTTGAAGGCTCAATCACTATGTGGCTTTTCAGGGACACCCTACAGATAAAAAGCAAAAAAAAAAAAAAAAGATAAAAAGACTTCAGTAAGCATTTAAAATATGTAATTTAACTTCAATATGAGTGCTACCACACAACTGCCTCTCTTTCCTTTAATAATACAGTAAAAGAAAATCAGCACAAAACGTATATTTTAATTATCAATTAAGTATGTCGTAAAGGGTAAAACATTAAAAACACAAGTGACTGCAGTAAAGGACCGAGACACACTAGAAAAGTGGGAAGAACTGGAGCGAAAGACTGGAGTTCTGCCAGCCACGGGCCTCAGGATCCTACAGTCACTCTGGCTCTAGAACCGTGGTTCTCGTTTCTATAAAATTAGCATAATTCCCTCTTAAATGAAATAACTTTGTAAAGCTGTTCAGACAGATTATTATGTAAGTGTAAGATATTACTGAAAGTATGACTAATTTAATATCTATACAAAGGAAACAGTCAATTTAATCAAAGCATAAAAAAACCCCAAAACCCACTGCCGTTGAGTCAATTCCAACTCATAGCGACCCTATAGGAGTAGAACTGCCCCATAGGGTTTCCAAGGAGCAGCTGGTGGATTCAAACTGCTGAACTTTCGGTTAGCAGCCAAACGCTCAACCATTGCGCCACCAGGATTCCAAAATCAAAGCACAGGATGATGCTTATTCTAGGTGCTCCTACAAGTTATAACTTCCTGTAATTTAAGTTTGTTTATGTGAAGAAAGGGAGGTATCTGCCGTAAATCTTTATTAGTGTCTGATGCCTCCATTATAACTACTCTACCAGCAGTGTGGTGAAACAGATATTTGAAACAGGTCACGTTTTATAATACCGAATAATAATAACAGCTCCACCTTAAATTAACATAGCGCTTTAATTACAGCTTAGGAATCATTTCTACCAATTCTTTCTCATTAGATCCTCTCAAAAACCCTGTGAAGTCGATACTACAGTTAGTACCATCTGCCAGGCACCACATGATAAGCTCTCAATATAGAATGGATGTTTCCTTGCTGAAGAAACAGATCCAAAGAGATTAAAATGACTTTCCTAAGGTCACAGAAATACTAGAGGGCAGAAGAGGAACTTTAGTGAGCAAATATTTTTTCCTCTGAATCTAAAGTCTTTCCATTTTACTCAACGTCCCCCTTCTAGGCAATCACGCATTAAGATGAAGGAGATGGACATTAAGATTACTTATCTAGAAAACCATAAGATCTTCTCATTTAAACAGATACGCAGGAAACTTCAAGACTCTTGGTTAAGTCACCCAGGAGTTCTGGTCTGCTAATTACTACCCTGGGGACACAGACACAATAAGACATTCTGGGGGGCATACATGCTTTAAAAAATCGGTCCCTGGAAAGCATTACAATGTTAAGTAGGACCTGAGGAAAGCTGTAAACAAACTTCAGCTGGAGAAAGCAGAGCGCGCGAACGCTCATTAACCACCTGGAAATAAAACTGTCATCCAATTTTACTACCTGTTCACTAATGTGCTGATAAACAAGTAGATAACAGAATTTCAGAAGCTATGGTCTAGGGGAGGCTACACTTAGGTTGGTATTCGAGTGAGAATACAAACGGCCACAGTGATGACAGCAGGGTCAGCCCGAGACTGCTGTCACAGTCAGCATGCTAAGTTTCACCAGTGCTGCCTAACAGCAACGTATCTTAAATGGCAAGATGGGATCCTGCAGCAAATCTAGGAAAAACATTTAGATGAATGGCAAGACATGAGCTATATGTTGGAAAGGGCACTCAGGCATACAGTGAAGACCTGGTTCAAAGCCCATCTCTGCCACTTGGGCAAGTTTAATCTTCTAAGCTTCAATTTCCTCATCTTTAAAATGGGCTCATAGTTCCTACTTCATTTGGTTGTGTTACGAGGACTAAATTAGATAATAATGAAAATGTTTAGCACAATGCCTAATGTAGTATAGGTGCTTAGTAAATGTTCATCCTCAGTAACAATATTGTTGTTACTATGACCATTAGCAGCTAACTGGGTCAATAAAAACAGGAAGGGCAAATTAAATTTTATGCTGATGCTGAAGCACAACTTTTTTCAGCCACGTATTGCTGTGGAATGCTGGACAACAGGAAGTGGATCCACAATTTATGGCTGTTGGAAGTCTGAAGCCTTACTTTTTTTGGGGAGAAAAGACTTCAAATGACAAATAGCAATAAACAAAAAAGGAGTAAAGGAGAATGAAGAACACCAAAGACACAAGGAAAGAATTAGCCCAAGAGACAGAAAGGGCCACATAAACCAGAGACTCCATCAGTCTGAGACCAGAACTAGATGGTGCCCGGCTACTACCAATGACTGCCCTAACAGGGAACACGAGAGTCCCTGACAGAGCAGGAGAAAAGTGGGGTGCAGAACTCAAATTCTAGTAAAAAGACCAGACTTAATGGTTTGACTGAGACTGGAGGGACCCCAGAAGACATGGCCCCCAGACTCTCTGTTAGTCCAAAACTAAAACATTCCTGAAGCCAACTCTTCAGACAAAGATTAGACTGGACTATGGAACATAAAATGATACTCGTGAAGAGTGTGCTTCTTAGCTCAAATAGATACATGAGACTAAATGGGCAGCTCCTGTCCAGAGGCGAGGTGAGGAGGCAGAGAGGGTGAGGAACTAGTTGAATGGACAGGGGAAATCTGGGGTGGAAAGGAGGAGTGTGCTGGCACAGTATGGGGACAGCAACTAGGGTCACATAACAATGTGCGTATAAATTTTTGTATGAGAGACTAGCCTGAATTGTAAACTTTCACTTAAAGCACAACAATAAAAATAAAAATATAAAAAAAGAATTTTTGACCTGCAAAAAAAAATTCTATAAAATGATGGCTACAGACTCATTATTTTCTTTTAAACATACAGGCTGGTGACACACGAATAAATTTTATGTCTGGACACAAATGACAATGGCATGGAGGGAAAACAAAGAAATACCATATCGGAAAAGCTCCTAGAACCACCGGACTGTAAGCAAAGCTAATGGTAGCTTCTGGGCATGGTTATCTTTGAAAATAATTACATTTCTTTTTGAGAAAGGGGAACAGAAAATGCGTGTTAAGAGCACTGACAGAGAATGAGGGAGAGGGAAGCTGGGGGCTCTGGGCAAAAGCACCCTCAGCATCAAACATAAACCGTGGGGGACACAGATCTGGACACATTTCCACACACTGCTGCACTCACTCACTGCTCTAGCACTTGAACCTCTTTGCCTTCGTGCCTACATCTTCTTAAGCAGTCACAGCCCCTCACAAACACCCGTGGTGTATGTGCTGATTTTAAACCACAAGTTAGTTCTTAAACACTGCCCCTAAAATAACAAGTCAGTCCCACTATTTGTCTACACAGCACAAATGAGAGGGAACGTAGAGAAGACAGCTCCGGGAGAGAGCAGCCACGTACACAACCACAGTGGGCACAGTCCAAGTAACTGAAAACAAGCTGTAGTGATTAATTCCATTTTTGAGACAATGAGCAATTTCCTAGGTTTTAAGGACAGAAACGTGTTTTCAAATTTTGAGTAGAAAAAGAGTAAACCTGCTTTTACAAATCCAATTAAATTAGAAAGTTCTAAGGATATAGACTTCAGTAATCTAACTCCCCTTTAAGAGAAAATGTTAAAGCTGCTCTTTTTAAAGATGTTGTAATTGTGCCTCTGATAATAAAGGTTCTGGTTAGGTGGTAATTTATATCACAGCCTAAATTTACAAGGCTCCACAAAAGCATATTAAGAGATTAAGCATTTTCTAAAGTTGACGATTTTAGAATACAAACAGAAAAACCTGCAGAGCAAGGCACACTGTTTCCTAATTTGTTAAGAAGATGCCATGAAGACTTAGTTCTCCCGTGAGTGAAGGTTCTTTTGCTGACTGGACAGAATTCCAGTCAGCCCTTGGCTGGTTCTGGTAGCTAGTCATCAGGGCCCTCAGGCCACACCTGGCTGGATCCCTGTACTACAATTCCCTCACCCCTACTCATTACAACCATCTTCTGCAAGTTTAGTTACTTATGCTGGGAGCGGGGAGGGGGACTCTAAAACAAAAAGCACTATGAAAAACTATAGTTAGACAGGAATAGTCAAAGCCTCAGGAATCAGTTTTCTAAAACAAGCCTTTATTTTTCATGCCTTTGACATACTCTGAAGCAAACAATATTTCCTATCCTTCAAATTCCATTGTCATGAAGAATACAATGTTGACTTCTGTTATCTTTTTGCTGATGCAGTAATATGAATTTTGGATCCCCTTCCTGTATTCTGAAGGGCAGTATTATGATTTCAGGCTGCAGTGGGTGAGCAGGGGGATGTAAGATCCAAGAGTCAACTGAATTAAAATGTGAAGGATGTTTAATGCCTTTGAATAACTGTGGATTTCTCCCCACAGTACTACCTTTAATTTCTTTACTCATCTTACTCTTCTCTATTTCCCAACACATGTCGGTCCTTCCTATGTAAGAGTACTGCACGTCTACTGTTCTTGGCCAGATCAGATTGAGTAATCCTTTAAAACCACTTAAGCGTTGGCTCTTTAAGGCCCTTGCAAACTTGCTTGACTAATTCTAACAGAAGCCACACTCCATCATTCTCGTCACTCTCCTGATTTCTTACTGCAGACATACTGCTATACAGGTTAACTAATAAACGCTTCATACTTCCTCACATTTCCCAATACTTTATTGAATTTAAAAATCTTAAGAATAGGACCCTGCTTTCTTCTTCCTTTGCAGCAGCCTGTAGTGGCCCCGAATATCACCAATTCCCTTCAGAGACTAATGCTGGGTGGGTGCAGTCTCAGGCAGAACTGGTAAAACCAGCTGTGATTATCTATCTGGCTGTGGAGGACCTCCCTGAAGAGCACCTAAGCTTCAAACTTTTGAGAAGCCTGCTAATTTTCCCCTTAGTTGGGATCCAGGGGTAAGGATTTAAATTTTCAGAGAGAAAATACGGTAGGTGCAGGTAGGAGTTTCACTGTGATGGCCTAGTAGGAAAGGTGATTAATTCTCTCTGCCAGTTTCAAGATGCAACTTAAATCCAACTAAGAGTGCTTCCTCCATTTTAAACAATAAAAAGAGAAACAAGCTTAAGTAAGGAGAATTACAATTATGCCAACTATGCTGTTTTAAAGGAGCCCTGGTGGCGCAACAGTTCTGCTGCTAACTGAAAGGTGGCAGTTTGAAGCCACCAAGCAGCTCTGTGTTCCATAAAGATTTCAGCCAAGAAAACCTCAAGGGGCAGTTCTACTCTCTTATATGGGGCCACCAGGAGTTGGAATCAACTCGATGGCACACAACAACAACCTGTTATCTTTAAAATTTTTACTATAGGTATCAAAGGAGCACAGCGAGGATTATATAATAAATCTTCAAATAGTATTATTTTCAAAAGGTATGATCTGAGCAATACTTTTGAAACCATTTCCAGATGTTCAAACTTGTGCATGTATGAAATTCCTATCTCTACCCCACCAAAATGCTGATTTCCTAAAACTGGTTCTACAATTCCTTCATCATGAATGCCTAACAGTGGCAATCCATCGTCACGAAAAAGTAACCCACTCCTTGAATGTTATTCAGGTACGTATTTTAATTTTCACAGCAGTCAAACTGGTTGAAGACAATTTTATTCCAAAAGCCTTAATTATGAACTCTCTATTAAAGGGTATTTGGAATAAAAAAATCTCAAAGTAATAAAAACAATTATGGGGTTTCCTCGTTCTACTCTGAAAACTCAGAAGATGGATCATAGGGGGGATGAGCTGAGTGCATGGAGGAAGAAGCACAATATTTTCACGTGAGACTTTCTGACCAGATTTTTAATATTAAAAAAAAGTAAAGTCCTTTGTTTCTCCACGAAGGGACATGAGAAACAAAGTTTTTACAACTGAGTCTCATCTGTTTACCAACAGAGGAGATGAACTATAAAGGAGAAGAGAAAGATGTTTTAGATTCAGTAACCAGTAGAATACAAATTCTATCTTTTTGAGAGTACTTAGATTTTTTTTTTTTTTTTAATATTTTATTGTACTTCAGGTGAAGGCTTACAGAACAGATAGTTTCTCATGTAACAAGAGAGTACTTAGATTTTTGTGAAACAGCCAAGCAGACTTCAAGTTCAGCTCCTCACAAGTAGTGATCAGCTGGCACAAATAAAAGTGCCATTATTAAAAATAGCATAAGGTGCCAAGATAAGTTTTCTGAGAAAGCCCAGAGTTTATCTCTGAGAGCAATGGCTTACAATAACTCTACTTTCTTTCTTTTTAGTCCATTTTACTTAAGCCTTCGAGTCCAAGTCAATTCAAAATAAAAGAAATAGCATTTGAATGCCCACAATTAATCTTCTTTTATTAAAGTGCACAAATGCCAATGTTTAACTACTGGAAAGAACTTTTAAAATTATCCTGGAATTCATTTGCTGTTCCATCTTTGTCAGGGTACTAGTGCTTTCTCCTTGAGTAAGGACAGGCGTTGCGCTCAGGTCCGAGTGGCCATCTGCCCGTCCGTCTCACCAGTCACGGAGGCCACAGATAGCCACACTCCAAGTGGCTCGTCTCCTCCTGTGCGCAGGTACACTGTGCCCTCAGAGAGCCTGTGCTTCTCTACCCAGGCCTGTGCCTGCAACAGGCCCTGAGCAGAGACAAGGCCTCTGCATCCTCAGACCCACGTCCCGCTGAAGAGATCACTATTTTCCTTAGCATCATGCAAACGCTCTTTGTGTTAAAAAGAAATGTTGACTTACAGACCCTCAGGGACCACAGTGTCACCGTATATGACCATCCAAACCTATTTCTGATACTGAAGGAGGGGAGGAAACTCACTCATTATAAACCATTCACTTTAGCCATTTCAATAACTTTTTCTCTGTTGTGACTACAGTGGTTAAGTGGATTCAGGAAAGCCACTTAACACAGCAGTAAAATGAAGGGGCTGCACTGGAACTCCCGTCCTTTCTGGCTCTAATATCGTAAGTATACAAATCTGTAAATCTTCATAATTTCTCAAAGAATTATCTGGCATCATTACTTATTTTTTTCTTCACCTATTCTTTTCTCAAAAAGTATTGTTCTTGAATCTGATTTGGACATATATAAACACAAATTATGTTATGTAAAGCAAAGGAGCCCTGGTGGCGCAGTGGTTAAGCGCTTGGCTGCTAACCGAAAGGTTGGCGGTTCGAATCCATTTGCTGCTCTGCAGGAGAAAGATGTGGCAGTCTGCTTCCATAAAGACTGCAGCCTTGGAAACCCTATGGGGCAGTTCTACTCTGCCCTATTCGGTTGCTGAGTCGGAACTGACTTGACAGCAATGGGTTTGGTTTTTTATGTAAAGCAATTCTATCAGGCTAAAAAACCCCAAGCATTAAGAAATGATACAGTTTTACTCACCATAGCCAGCTGTCGCCCTATGTTTCCTACTGTTACACCTCCTGAGAAAAATATACATGGGAGCCAAGAACGAATATAGAGAAAATCCGGAGATGTATACCTAGAACCACAACAACAACAACAAATACATATATAATTATAATACTTTTGTGCCTTAGCAGGTAATTTCACCAAGTTTGGGCCAATGCTGGGTTAAAGTTTTTCTTTAATGGGGATATACAGAATACACACTAACCATGCAATGTTACAAAATGTTAATATCTGAATGATATCTTTCACTGCTACTATTTGGTTTTCTTCTACATTAAATTACAGACAGTGCATTTTTAATATCTGAATCAAGAATAACCAGCATGTTTGAGAATTTCTTATCTAATACATGTATTTTACAAAAGCTAAATAAAATATAAAAACATACCCTAAGCTTAACAGGTATTTTTAATAAAAGTAACAGTTCTATGAAGTGGATATAAACATCAATATCTGAAAACACATACTTACTGATAAACACCATTGTACACGAGAAACTGAGTGATCAGAGTGGCTAGAAATGCTATGGTGATTCCAAGCCCAAGACCACTTCTTGAACGGTCAAACGTCCACCAAAGGCCCAAAGACAGGGCCGCTAAAGTCAAGGACAGCTGAACGTTATTGGCAAAATCCAATTTCTGGTGATGCAAAAGTTAAGGATAAGTTTTAAGATTTCTCGTAAGATCAAAAACTTTTTTTTTTTTAAAAACAAGAACTACACATGGGTTTTTGTTACTGTGCACCAAATAATTCACTATCCATAAAAACTGCCTAGTGAGTTAAGCAATGGGTCTGCTGGATACAGGGTTACTGTGATGATTAGAATTACCTGAAATTCCTCTGGGATCACTGAGTAAAAAACTTTGAATATATTTTCTGAAAGCTACATAAAAAATTCTGCTAGTATTTCAACCCTGTAATATTCTGGTATGAAGTCACCTACAGTCCCATTCTTATTTCTTCTTTTTATTCATAATTTGAAGTGAGCAATCACAATCGTCATGACCACAGTATGACAACACCTAGTCAGAAGGCCACGCCAAGTACACTGAGACCAACAGTACTGACTCACTGGTGACCACATGAATTTAGTCAGTGCTAAGATATATCTACCACTCATCTGTCGGTGTGCCGTACTGTGGTGGCTTGTGTGTTGCTGTGATGCTGGAATCTATGCCACTGGTATTTCAAATACCAGCAGGGTCACCTTGGTGGACAGGTTTCAGCACAGCTTCCAGACTAAGACAGACTAGCAATCTACTTCCGAAAATTAGTCAGTGAAAACCTTATGGATCACAACGTAACACTGTCCAACTCGCATGCTTTAGACACATCAACAGGGGGGATCAACTGCTAGAGGACATCATGTTTGGTGAAGCAGAGGGCCAACGAGGGTGAGGGAGACCCTCGGTGAGATGGACTGGCACAACAGCTGCAACAATGGACTCGAACGTACCGGTGACTGTAAGGATGACATGGGACCAAGCAACGTTTCATTCTGTTGGACATAAGGTTGCCACGAGTCAGAACTGACTCAACGACAGCTAATGACAAGATATCTTATAGAATCCTTCTAATATTCTTATTAAAATAGAGGTAGAGCAGATTTAAGGACTTGTAACTCTAAAAACATAGCTAAGATTTTAAAATATAATCTACCTGCTCTACAGAAACTCTAAATCACTTGAGACCTGTAAACCATAGACCATCTTCCTGAAAAATGCACTCACGTACAGAGAAACAAATTATTCCATATAATGAATTCCATCTATGGACGCCAGAAGTTTGGGATCTTATATTAGGAACCCTTGTTATAAAGAATAATTTTTGACTGGCCCTTGGACTTCTGTGGTCAGAGCCAGGAAGCAGGCAGAGAAGCAGAGCCACTTCTCCACCTCATCGTCTACAAAGGAGTTCCTATAACAGGTACAGTCACACAGTCTCACTTTGCCACAGGAACTACCAAGTCCCTGCACTGAAAGGAGAAAAGTGAATTTATACAATGAACTCCTAAGAACCAAGAAATACTGTCCGAGAAAGGAGAGAGTACGTATGTTCATTCCCCGTCTGGTATTATTCTGTTTCCTGAAATGAACTGGCAGGACTCCAGGAACCGGACCTAAAAATCCTGTTAAGTGCAAACTAAATAATATGCTTTAAAATAAAAAAACTTGTAAAAACGATTTTCAATTAACCTATGAGGTAATACATACTCTTAAAAAGTAACAAACTGCTTCAACATATAATATAAGAAAATCTTCTGCACATAACACGTTGGTTTAAGGATACAGCACTTGCGTGGTTGATGCCAACAAAAACTGCAATACAGCGCATTACACTGGCCCATTCTCTCTTAAACTTGTGGGGTTCTCCAAGATGACTGTCGATGCAGGGGTAGAGTAAGCCTACAACAGCTGTTAAAAGAAGAAAACAGTATTAAAACATACCAGCTTAAAATGAAATGATTTCTATGTTGTAGTTATTAACATAGTATATGGTGTAGACTGCCAAAAACACCAACAAATCAGTCTTAAAAAAATACAATCAGAATGTTCCTTAGAAGTGAAGACAGCAAGACTTTGATTCGCTTACTTAGGGCACGTCATCAGGAAAAACCAATCTCTAGAAAAGAACATCATGCCTGGTGAAGTAGAGGGCCAACAAAAACAAAGGGAAACCCTCAACGAACTGACACAGTGAGATACACTGACACAATCGCCGCCAACGACGGACTCAAACATGCCAACGATCATGCACACGGCGCAGGACAGGGCAACATTTCCTTCTGCTGTACGTGGGGCTGCCATGAGTTGGAGCCAGCTCCATGGCAACAAAGCAGAAGGCGCAGGACAGGGCAACATTTCCTTCTGCTGTACGTGGGGCTGCCATGAGTTGGAGCCAACTCCACGGCAACTAACAACTAATAAAGGACTCCAGTCCTCTTTCTAGAAAGTTAATCTGCTATAATAGTCAAATTAAGAGTCCTTTTATATTCTTGTTCTTTGATTAACAAACTTTTGAGAAGTTTAATAAATATCACTGATACTTGATTTAGTTAAACATGTCAGGAAACAGAGAAATGAATCAAGCAGGGGGTTTAATTATCCAGACAGGCCTAAAGAACAAAAAACTTAAATGCCTGCCTAATTAACCTTCTATTTTTATCAAGTGTTATTTCCATTTTACAATGAAAAGGTAAGCTTCCATGAATATCCTTGAGACCACAAGTTATATCACAAGTTCTTACCTTCCTTGTACCACCCAGAGTTGATGCTGGGCAAATGATGCTCACATTCGTGCTGAACAGAATGTGATGGGCTGGGTCATAAAGGACACTCCTTTCACATGCCCACAGGGTGGGACTGGACTTAATTTTCAAGGGGCTTAAAGCATTTACGTGAGGACACCCTGGGCACCTATTGGGTAGACAAGCCTGGGGTTAAGTGCTATGGGGCTGTTATGGATTGAACTGTGTCCCTCAAAAATATGTGTTGTAAATCCTAATGCTTATACTTGTGGATGTAATTCCATTTGGGAACAGGGTTTTCTTTAATAAAGCCGTATCAGTGTAGGCTATGTCTTAAGCCAATCACTTTGGAGATATAAAAGAGCAGATGAGGCACAGAAAAAACCAGACACAAGGGAAGACCCATGGTTTGTGAAGACGAAGGAGGCAGACCAGTCCACAAGCCCGGCAACTCCAAGGACTCCTGGCTAGAGAAGCTGAGACAAGGCTTTTCCCACAGAGCGAACAGAGAGAGGACCTTCCCTTATAGCTGGTGCTCTAAATTCAGACTTCTAGCCTCCTAAACTGTGAGAAAATAAATTTGTTTGTTAAAGCGACCCACTTGTGGTATTTCTGTTATAGCAGCCCTAAGAAACTAAGACAGGGGCACACGAGAGAAATGGGGGAGACAGACCACCATACACTGCTTTTTATTATTCTTTATTGTTCCTACGTGTGAAGCCCTAAGCTGTGAAAGAAAAAGCACTGGACCAGGAACAGAATATCTGGCATCTAATCCCAATTTGCCCTCTAATGGGTTGTGGCTCTTCATGTTTGTTTCTTCATGTGTAAAATTATGAGGGTTATGTAACTGGAAGACTTTGTGGTCTGGGATAATTAGGAAGTTCCAGAATTTTAAAGAATGATAGACTACCAGGAGAATTTGGATCAGTGGGAAGGTACAGCACCCCAAAAGAGAAATAAAACGCTAAAAAATAAAGACAGGAATGAACAAAACAGAGGTCAACAGTGGGAATACAGATCTAATGGGACTGGACTAGGAAAAAAAGGTTAGCCATGTAAATCACACCCAAAGTACCGAGGCCCTTAAGCCGGGCATAGTTCCACCTTGATATGGTGGGGGAGGGTGCCACTTTAGGTTCCTGAAAGAGAGACAACACAGGAATAGCCTGTGTCAGCCAAATACTCAGATGAAAGATTTTCAGTTTTCAATTTCATATTAGGTTTAGCCAAGTTCTAATTTTGGAGTTTTGAAAAATGGAACCCAAGGAATTCTACAATTGTCATCACTGTAACTTAATCTTACCTTTTAAGGTTAAAAGCTAAATAGGTGAAAATGTTATTATGGAATAATTTTTCCTTATGTTCTTGGCTAGATAGTTAAATATGTAAGGTATGAGGAACTGTATTTCAGATATTCCTGGAAACTTCAATTACAAACATTGAAGGCTAAACTAAAATATTTTTCATTTGAGATAAGCTTTTGGTTCAAAAAAGGAAAGTACTGTGCCAAGTGTGTATGAAAATGACATTTCAAATCTAGATGTATTTCTCACAAAGATGAAAACATTCTACCCACTACTTTATAATTACAGTCTCCCTTAAACATAGATGTTCTAGCTAAGACGACACACAGTGCTCTATTTCAAGACTCTTTGCTTCTTACTGTTTGGAGTCTATTGAGACTACGCCGTGCGTCCACACACCTGCATTACAGGGAGGCGCACACACAGCCAGAGAGCTAAGAACACTGGCTCTGGAATCAGACTGCTCAAGTTTAAATACAGTGGCTCGGCCACTTACTAGCTGTGTACCCTTGGATACTATTACATTAACCTCTCCCTGATTCAGTTCCCACATTTGTAAAATGGAGTTACAGCACAGTATTGTTGAACAGATTAAAAGTAAAGCATATAAAGCCTAGTAAGCAGTCAGTAAGTGCTGGCTACAAAGAAAACACAAGTACTTGTTAGAGTATACTGTAGTTACTTAGATACATGCTTGTTTTCCCCACCAGACTATGGGATGCTTAAGGAGAGGAGCCTGTAGTACTCACTTTTGTATTCCAACAACTCCCAGAGTTGAGCCTACTGACAGCACCTGGCAAACGTTTGTTAAATGAATGCTGTGTGACTAGAGAAGTATCCAGTAATCTGAAGATCAATTTAGTATTTTTATAAAACTGGCTAAATGATAACCAAGAAATTCTACTAAAGACAAGACAGTCCTCCTGTCCACAATTAGACTTATCCTACGCTATGTTATACATCTTTGTGACTGGTTAGGTTTACTACAATCTAAACTCTTAACAAGGGGTTTACTCTTTTCCTTAAGTACTTATCTATAGAGCTTTAACAATTCTAGGAGGAAAATACTTGGCTTCTGGCCACAGCTTGCTCGGCTATCCTGGCAAAAGGAAGTGCTGAGAACTCGCTCCCCTGGCAACCACCTCTTGAACACATGTGACGGATTTGTTTTCAGTTATCCAGCAGTGTAGCATGTTCACTGACGCAGCCAATAGCAATGCGGTACTGCTGCTCACCAGTTCTGCCAGCAACCAACCACAGGGCAGGAGCTGTAGATGACAGCTGCTGTGCTCTAGGCGAGGTTGTCCTCAACCTGCCCAGACACTAAGGGACCAGATCGCAGTCAGTCTGGCACGAGCATTGGCTTAAACAGTTCATTATCACCCTGCCTCACGTCCATCACTGAGCTTCCTCAAACTTCGAGAGAGCTTAGGCATAGACTACCCCTGGGGGTTTGAGATCCTCGCTGCTCCACTTTCCTCTATCTAAATATGAAAATTGAAGATGCTCAGTTTGCATCTGTGGATGATTCCATTTTCAAATAAATGTTTCCAGAGGGTTAGTTTTAAAAAAACAAAACAAAACAGGCATCTTTTATTTTTACTAAACAAGGAATGGCTAACTCACCAGCTGCTGTCCCACAACAGGGAGGAACCCACCAGGCAGAAGAGAAGATTGTGGCAATCACTTCTTCGGGGAAAAGGGTGACATTCCTCTGTATCTGTAGCAGGTTGAGCACCAGCGCTAGGACAACTCCAACTGAAAACAGCACAAGGCTCCTTTGCACCAAATGATGATGCCAACTGTTAGCGTGGCTGCTGTTACAACGGTGGACACTCACACCAGTGCTGTGACCACTGCTGTGACGCCTGTGTGATGGGCTGGTGTTCAGGGCACTGTGGTCCACCAGCAAAGAGGGGCTGGACACAGAGGGACTGATCATCTCTTCCACTTTCGCTGCCAGCCCTCCAGCTCCGGCCCTCAGCTGTTTTCTGTGCCTCTCACTGGCAGGACAGGAACAACTGCAGAAGTGGTCGTCTAATCTGGGCATCAGTGCCCACCACAGTCTGAGAGGAATTTCCTAGAAGGGAAAGAAAAAAAAAAAAAAAGGAGCGGGAAGATGAAATCATATAATTTCAATGAGACGAAGAAAGTCAAGGAAGGCTACACTTCAAGTCGTGTGACCCAAGCCAGATGCTGAAAGCTATACCTGTATTCATTGCCAACACATACAGTAAAAACAAAAGTTCCTCAGGGGAGTTAGTACTGACTAATGTAGAAGACACTGCCTAGCTACCACAATCGACTTACTGTACCTACATATGTTACTTCGTCTGTGTTCCTCAACCACAAAATGAACATATAAAAAAACCCACCCACATATTCCCATTGGGTAATGCATAAGTTGCTTTAAGGCATGCAGAAGCAAAGTGACAGAAAAATATAATTATTTCTCTTAAAAGAAAAGCAGAACCCTTTAAAACTACCCGCCTACCAAGTACCCCTACTTTTTATAAATCATGACGTGCTGGCTGCTTCAGTCAGAAAGTTTCCAAGACACGATTTACATGGGCCACGAAACTTTTGAGAACTGGCACAATGAAAACACGCCGGCATCCCGGCCCGCCGAAGGCCCCTCAATCAGCCTCTCCCAGAAAAAGTTAACAGGATCCAACCAAATGGGTTTGAACGGAAAACGCAAGTTCAGAAACAGCAGGGTTGGCTAACCACCTCGGTCGACCGGGAACCACTCGCTACGTTAACCGCGCGTTGGGGCGCACGTTGCCCTTTCCACCTACAAGGGCGCTCCGAGTGCCCGCTCCCCTCGGTCGGGGGCCGTGAGCAGCCAGGCCTCCGGGACCGTCATCACGACCCGACTGGGAAGTTTATCCTCCGAGCTCCCGGGAGGCAGGAACAGAGAGGCTTCGGACGCGGGCGGCTGGTCCAGGGCGTGAGGTCCC